GGAAAGGCCAAGCGCAAGGCCATAATTAGCTAGCACTTGGCTGCACGGTCGTTTGTTTTTAATTAAACGAAATTCACATCTCTCTCTAGGTCTTTCTCTTATCATACAAATATTGCCAAACAATGCCGGGGAGCATTGCTTAATGTATTTAGTACACTTTTTTATTAATATTTCTTATCGCCAAAGAACCACTTTAGGGGGCATTCAAACAAACAACAATTTCTATTAATAATAACCATTGTTTGCACGCTTTAATGGGTCTTCCATGGATTATATATTGCTATATTTGTGCATTCCTAGCGATGTTTGTTTATGTTGCGTAATTTATTCCAATTCGAATTATAACTAAAATACTCACATAATCATCAACCGAATACGTAAGCTCGCCATCGTCGTAAAGCACAAACCATCGTCGCTGCCAGCGCTGAAAATTGAAACAAAATGAAAAATGGAATTAGTATTAAAATCAAAGTAAATATAATTTAAGTTGAGATCAGCTTGATGCCTTTTTTATTGCTGTAAAAAATAATTTTGTATCAAGTAGAACCTTCAGTTGCTCGACTGAAAGCCATTAGAGGTGTCTAAAGACGGCTACGAATAATAACGTTGAATTTTGTGTCTCATGCTAGGTGTTATAACACCTTAAATAATAACCTAAGAGCAGTTTTTCAGCTTATCTAAATATTTTACTTACACTTTTAATAATTATAAACCGATCTATGCAGGTTAGCAATGCATATATCTGCCAAGATCTTTGCCAAACAATCCACTCGAACTCTCTTCACTTTCGATATAAATCTCTGAAGATCTTTTGCTCATATTGTTAATCTCTCAAAGCGCTCTCCCATCTCTCCCTTCTGCCCATGAGAGATCATGTGATCTTCTGAAAACCATATTTGTTCTCCAGCAATCTGTACGTGTAGGTACAGATTGTATGCAAAGATTGTTTGCCTGATCTCGCCTGATCGCCAGTATTTGCATTGTCGCTGCATGAAATAGGAAAGGGGAGGGGGCAGCAAAAAAAAAAAAAAGGGTAAATTATATTCAACGCCCCCGACAGAAATCATAATTCCTTTATAATTCGTTCGTTTCATATACACATATTTTGTGCTGTTGTCATTCCCATTGAAAAGGTAGGTAACCAAGCCCCAAACGCCCTCGCTCTCGTGCTCTACACACATCGCCTGTGGAGTACTCGTATTTTATGCCAGCCACAGATTCCAGATGACGGGGGACTTGCATCTGGATCTGATTCTGATTGTTATTGCTGATTCTGTGCCAGCAGAATCATAGCAGCAATCGGGCAATGCCATGCCAGGCCATGCCATGCCACGCAGCAGCGTAGGACTTGACTTGCAGTGTGTCTGATATTTATGCAAATTGCTAAAAGTCAAAGCAAATTAAGCTCAACCTTCAGCGAAGATGACGTTGAAATGTGTTGCACCACACCACCACACAGCCATCGTCGTTGCAAGTTGCAACTCCCTAAAGTTGATTTCTCTTCAACACCATGGCAACATGCAACACAATCTGCAGAAGTACATGTGTGTGCTGTGTGTGTGTGTGGTGAGGTGTGTCGAGCATTTTATTTATAAGGAGAGAGACCTACACTCGTCTCGTCGTAGCAGCAGAGAAGAGAAAAGAAAAGAACTCCGCCAAACGAATAATCAAGAGTCAGCAGCACCATTTCTCACTTTACGCTCTAGTTCTTTATTTATTTTTCCTTTTTCCTTTTCGTTGGCTACGTTTTTTTTTTTTGCGTTTTCTCGATTGAATTCATAAATATTGAAGCGCGCGAATCTAATGAATTTGATTAGGCGGGGAGGCGCAGAAACAGAATGTAGAAGGGTCTAATGAAGTGAGAGGTTTCATTTTTAAAATTTGCAAGAGCTTAGCTTTCTTCTTTTGGTTGCGCAATCGTTGGAAATTAAACAAAAAAAAATGAAGCGCTTACTTTTTAGATTAAGGAAGTATCTTTCAAGTACCTTTAAATATTTCATAACATTTGTTTTTCATTTAATTCAGGCATTAATCAGGCATTATTCAGGCATTAATCATCTACGAAGTGATCAAAAGTCTTAAAAGTGCCCCAAATTTAATTCGTTTCACCCAATTCCTTAAGAAAACCAAAAGATCTTGGTTTAAAAAAGAACAAAAAGAGCAACAAAAAAAAAAACCCAATTAGCAACATAATTTATCAAACTTTAAAGCAGTTTCCCAGACGCTTCTGAAAGTGTATAAAAGATGATTGATGCTTGGCATTATTGTTGATGCAAAGCCGTCACAGATTTACCCATTAGAAATGCAAATAATATGATGCAACTATTGTGCGGTTTTGATTAGGGAGAGAGAGAGAGAGAGAGACGCGAAACGAGACCCCAAAGCAAAGTCAAGCGTAAAAGGGGAAATCTGATCAGGCCCCCCCACACAGAAATAAATGCATACACATACCCAGGAGAATATGTACCACAAAAAGGCGAGTCAAATGGGTCGTCAGACATGAGTCAAATGGGTCGAATTGTAAATTAGATTATGCTCGCATAAAAAGATGCAAAGATGCAAACGCACGGCACTACTATACCATACCATGGCATCCCATACCATCTTCCCGCCTTTCTCTAGCAGTGGGTACATACATATGTATATAGGTAAGCCGCTTAGCCAGTGCCGTTTAGAAGCCCCAGTTTCGTTTCAATAGGCACACCACATAACACTGCGGGAAGACAATGCCAGTAGTCAGTGGCTTAATTAGCTAGAGGAACGACAGCTACATACGAGTCTACCTACCGACTATGTTTTGTGTACGTACATAAATTGGTTTTGACAGGTACACTGTTGGCGTCATTACCCCCCCAAGAGGTTGAATGTCAGCCCGGCAGCGTAGACCCAGGGGCCATGCCACACTTATGCCCGGACACCACGCGATAAGGCAGGCAGGCGGCACACTGTACTCAATGTCTCAATGGCTGGGTGGGGCTTTTCGTATTGAGATGTTTTGGGCACCGTCCGCCGTCTGCTGATAGGAAAAAAACCCATATCAAATCGATGTCTGGGCGGGCACAGTCATACGATTTTTCGTATATGGAGTATCGTTTAATTTAAGTGGACGAGTTGCCAGTTGCCAGGGAAAAAAGGTAACCCCATTGATTAGTAGGTCAGTGGATAGGGGTATTCTGGCATGGAATATCTTTGTTAAATTACGGAGTTCCCTTAGCATGCATTCTGCACATGCTTCTGGGCACACGCTTCTCTGCGCGATAACCCACTTGGGGGGCCAAAACGATTATGGAATATTATAAAATAATTTTTAGTATTCAAATTTAACAAACGTCAGAGCTGCAGCGACCGATTTGATGCAAAGAATAATTCCAGCTTCCATTGCCATACAAATCGAATCCTATATACATATTCGATTTTAACCCACATCTACGAGTATATACTCGTGAGTATGTATGTATGTATATTCGCAATCCATTTATGTACATAAATTTGTGCATATATTACACATCAATAAACAGGTTCAAGTACGGTTCCTGCACTACTCGTATTTTATATGCAAATTGAAAGCTCATTTCTTCCGCAATGCTTATCTCTCTCTTTCTCTCTCTCGAGATTGCATCACACGTGCCGTACATTTTGCAGCTACCCCACCCCCACCCCATCCATGGACCTCTTTACTACGCTTAACCCACTGATGACGCAATGTGCTCAAGTGGCATTGCAGAACAACAACATATGGAACATTTGGTAAATGGTCAAGTAATAAATAAATATGAAAGAAAAATATAAACAAAATAAATAAAATAGAAAAAAAAAAATTTGGCAATAACAAAAAATGTCTGTGCATTTATGGATATATGTATGTATATTTAATACCTGTTTATAACATATATTTATGATATGATAATTTCTTATGCTTCATATCTACGTTCTGGAACCGCCAACGGGTTAACATTTAACTGTTGCTGTTTTTGTGTTTGCTTATTTACTTACATACTTGTTCAGTATTCAGCTCTCCCTCTCTCTCTTGAGTACACCACACACTCGAAACCGCTATTCCTGCTCGGCGGCTCTGAAGTGGGCTTGGTTTCTGCGCTGACCGACGGACTGACAGACAGACCGGCCGACAAGCGAGCGATTGCTAATGAGCTGCGTTTTAGGGGGCGTGTGTTGTGTGTGTTTTTCTAGACTGATTCTATATGTAGATGCCTCGCGCCTCCGTCTGGCGCAGCACCCCTTCTCCACCGCCCTTCGGCACACACTACTATCTCCTCTCGCTGTCTGAATAATGTAAATTAAGCCGAAGTTCAATTGCCAGCAACAACTATCAAAGCCTGGGTCCACACTACCGCTGCGCAGCCGCTATCACGTTGCTTGACATTCAATGAAGGTTAAAGCTCTTGCTCTCGCTCTCTCGCGCGCTCTCTCTCGCGCTCTCTTCTTCGTTGCTATTGCTCGCTGATGCTGTGGTCTTCTGCTGTCCTCTCCCACTTTATCAATCACCATGCCCCTCTCTGGCTTGTCGTTCCCTTTCTTTTCAATTTACATATTTGTTTGCGCTCTGCACATGGCTGCAGATCATTTGTTATACCCTTTTAATAGGGTATATCTAATTAAAACAATGCTTGAAACTTGTAAACTTATTCTTGATCTATTCCTAGTCCCGGTCCATCCTACTGACTTAATAATCAAGTAAATTTGTTCAATATGGAATCAGTGTACCATGGCTCACTCTTTTTTTCCAGCAGCATAACGCTAACGCTCCCCATTGCTCAGAATAAATATGCCCTCACAATTCTGCCATGGGTGCCATCGTACAGCAAGTGTATTAAACGCTTCGACTAGCATTACTCGTTTTTTGTTTTCTTTATTTTTATTTGCATTTTACATTATTACGAATTATTGCAGCGCGCTGGCGTCGCGTCGCGTCGCGTCGGCGTGTGCGTTTGCGTTTGCGTCGACAGAGGCGTTTAAAGGGGCGCGGCCGTAGTGTATTTAAGGCAGCGCACATGTCGAGGACCACGATTATTGTCTCAGTGCAGTTGTCAGGTGCAGCACAGGCGTGGACCAGCATTTCTTCACATCTAACTCAATCGATCAAGTAAGTAACTGTAATGCATGTACAGTCGGCAAACCTCGCTCCCACTCTGTTACTGTTACCCACACTGTTACTGTCGCGAAGTGAACATGAGAGAGTGAGTGAGAGAGAGAGAGAGATTAAGGGAAGTTCGGTTCAATAAGTTTCGAGTCTGGCTTAGAAAAGTGCAAATTATGTTGTCAAATTTCTGGCAGTATTCTGCCCCCCCCCCAACCGACCACGGACCTTAAAGCTGTTAAAGTGATCAACATTCGTATGACGTATTACGCGTCGCGGCAGTTTATAAAAATAGTTCTCTCTCTCTCTCGGTTTTAAAATTCGGCAGACTCGCGTTTCAGGAAATCGTTTGCGGGAAATCGTTTTGTTGGCTCTGGTCCAAAATAATTTATTTATTTACACTTTTTGTCCAAAGCCAACGCAAACGCAAACGCTCCCCCTTTGCTCAGAATAAATATGCCCTCACAATTCTGTCGTATCAGCGCAGGCATCGCGCGTGTACGCCCGCCCGCCGCCGGCTCGCCGCAGACACGCAGTAGTTTTCCTCAAGAACCTGAACTCTAAACATAGACATAATTTACTATATGTACATGCATACACACATACAGACAAGTATATGGTTAGTATTTCTGATTAGGCACACATACACACATACATACGCGTATTAACATAAATTTACCGGCATAAAACCAAAACAAAGCGAGCCGAAACCGAAGCGTAGACGAAAGTAGACGAAGCGAACAAACGAACAAACGAACGAACGACACGTAATGACAGAGATAAGAAACAAAAAAAAAAAGCTTCACGTGAATGAAGGAAGCTTCCATGTGGAAAAAAGCTTCGCTTGAAATGAAATAAATTCCCTATAAATACGAGGACTGAAACCAGAAGAAATCTAACAAACCGTTGAACCATTTCTGTCGATTCCCCCCCAGGTCAGGAACAACCAAAAAGCTAAAAACTACAGAATGTCACTCACCAACAAGAATGTCATTTTCGTGGCCGGTCTGGGCGGCATTGGCCTGGACACCAGCCGGGAGTTGGTTAAGCGTGATCTGAAGGTAAGGCGATAGAGAGAGAAATCTATTTCCATAGGACTCTACTATGGAATCCTAAAACCCAAAAATCCCGTGTAATCCCCACTCTGTAGAACCTGGTCATCCTGGATCGCATTGACAATCCGGCTGCCATTGCCGAGCTGAAGGCAATCAATCCCAAGGTGACCGTCACCTTCTATCCCTACGATGTGACCGTGCCCATCAGTGAGACGACCAAACTGCTGAAGACCATCTTTGCCCAGCTGAAGACCGTCGATATCCTGATCAACGGTGCCGGCATCCTGGATGATTACCAGATTGAGCGCACCATTGCCGTCAACTACACGGGTCTGGTCAACACCACCACAGCCATTCTGGACTTCTGGGACAAGCGCAAGGGCGGCCCAGGCGGCATCATTTGCAACATTGGCTCCGTCACCGGTTTCAATGCCATCTACCAGGTGCCCGTTTACTCTGGCAGCAAGGCCGCCGTCGTGAACTTCACCAGCTCCCTGGCGGTAAGAAAATATATTTATTACATAATTCCATCAGCCAAACTGAAACTAATTCTTTTGTTTTTTTTTGTTGTTGCAAATCCCTTTAGAAACTTGCACCCATCACTGGTGTGACCGCTTACACTGTCAATCCTGGCATTACCAAGACCACGCTGGTCCACAAATTCAACTCGTGGCTGGATGTGGAGCCCAATGTAGCCGAGAAGCTGCTGGAGCATCCCACCCAGACATCTCAGCAGTGTGCCGAGAACTTTGTGAAGGCCATTGAGCTGAACAAGAATGGTGCCATCTGGAAGCTGGATTTGGGCACTCTGGAGCCGATCACATGGACCCAGCACTGGGATTCGGGCATCTAAACAGGATACCCCCCAGTCCCCACACCCCACACTGCACACCCATGCAATGGGCCATGGCGTTTTAGCTTTTAGCTTCGTTTTTTCCACTCAATTTGTTACGTATATACATATATTATGGCAATAAGGCTGATTTGATTCTCTTTAAATGGAACCCCCCTCCACCCGTTTTGAATATGATAATAAAAAATTATATTTGAGAAATTTATAAAACACAAAAACACAAAAACGATAAGGCGTAGTAGCCTCTCATTTAATTAAAAAATAAATAGATAAATGCCAGTGAGCAGTGGCCAGTGGCCAGTGGCCATCGATATCCAGCACATGAACTGAAGACTGAACTTTAGTAATAGAAAAGAACTTGAGAAAGGCAGCCAAAAGAATGTACGATCTGACGGGTAAGCATGTCTGCTATGTGGCTGACTGCGGTGGCATTGCACTGGAGACCAGCAAGGTTCTCATGACCAAGAATATAGCGGTGAGTGTGGCGAGTGGCGAGTGGAGCCCCGTTTGGGTTCTGGTTCTTGAAACAAGTCTCTAGGCTGCTGCTGCTGCGGCTGCTGCTGCTGCTTAGCTGTCGAAACTAATTAAGTTAATGACTTTTTCATGTTATTTTTGTGCTGAGTTTTTGCTGCTTGCAGCAGCTACAATTAAGTTTATGTTTTAGTGTTTGATATACTTTTGCTACAGGGAAATACTTTCGATTATGGATTAATGGCATATATAAAAAAACGCCTTTCAGTATTGTTATATTCGTAGTAAAATATTCTCCTTTATCGCTTGATTTCTATTCTAGAAATTAGCCATACTACAGAGCGTGGAAAACCAACCGGCCATCGCTCAGTTACAGTCGATTAAGCACAGCACACAGATCTTCTTCTGGACCTTCGATGTGACCATGGCACGCGAGGAAATGAAGAAATACTTCGACGAGGTCATGGTCCAAATGGACTACATCGATGTGCTTATCAATGGGGCCACACTGTGCGATGAGCGGAACATCGATGCCACCATCAATACGAATCTGACCGGCATGATGAACACGGTGGCCACTGTGCTGCCCTATATGGACCGCAAGATGGGCGGTTCGGGTGGTTTGATTGTGAATGTCACCTCTGTCATTGGATTGGACCCTTCGCCAGTGTTTTGTGCGTACAGTGCCTCAAAGTTTGGTGTGATTGGATTCACACGAAGTCTAGCGGTAAGTGTGGGGAGATCTTTACATCTACAAAAACTATTCTCTAATATCTGATATCTATATCCTGCGTAGGATCCTCTGTACTACAACCAGAATGGTGTGGCTGTGATGGCTGTTTGTTGTGGTCCCACCAAAGTGTTTGTCGATCGCGAACTGAATGCCTTTTTGGAGTACGGCCAAACCTTTGCCGATCGGCTGCGTCGTGCGCCCTGCCAATCGACTGCCGTCTGTGGCCAGAATATTGTAAATGCCATTGAAAGATCGCAGAATGGACAGATATGGATTGCCGACAAGGGCGGACTGGAGCTGGTGACCCTGCATTGGTATTGGCATATGGCCGATCAGTTTATCAGCTATATGCAGAGCACGGATGACGAGGATCAGGAATTGTTTGTATCGGCGGGGTATCGGAAATAAAATGCCACTGAATAAACTAATTAAATGTGACACAAAAAGTAGGCAATTTGTATTGCGGGTATGGAAATAGATTTGAAATATTTGTGGGTCATATGAATAATGACATATACAGCAGGCGCCTGAAAGTATGCCCCGGTTTGGATGGGCACTACGAGTGCTAGAAATAAATAGATTATAGATAGTTGAGGGTGGAATGGAAGCTTTTGTGCCATGGAATACCATGGTTACTTTGTCAAGCATACAAATTAATAATAAATAAATAAAATAAAAATAAATAAAATAAAAATAAATAAAATAAAAATATAAAAATAAAATAAATAAATTTCAGTAAAAATATAGAAATTTCTAGTAATCTTTGCCATCTCCTGGGACACTCTCTCTTCACAGACTTTTTATACGTTTCTCCCTTAATAGACTACAGATATTGGGCGGTGCAATGGAAGCTTTTTGTTCTATGAAAATTTGGGTAAATATTTTAATTTCCCAGAGATTATAATGAGTACGAAATCTAGCTGTATAATACCAGTAAATATAGCAACTTCTAGTGATCCTGAGACTCCCTCTCCTTACACTTTTTTTCGTAAATATCTCGCCTTAAACTTCACTTCTCTTCATGGGCCTTCATTTTTCATATGTTGCTGGAAACCTTTGACTTGGTTTCCTTTACCGAAAGTCAAGTCCACAGCCGTTGGAGGGTTTTTCTGGCTGGCTGGCATTCTTGCCACTTCTAGTGCCATCTCAATCTGAAGCTATGCGAAAACGCCGAATCGATGCGAATTTTTCGCCATGGCAATGCCGTGCATTGAACTTTGGCACATTTCCAAACGCCGCCAGACGATTCGAGACTAGACCCCATCGAAACGAACGTTTGCCTGCCTGCCCGAGAATTGAATGTGAAAACAAACAAATCTGCCGACACATTGCACAGGAGGGCAGACCAGTGGTGGGGGTTGGGGGGGAACAGCAACACCGCGAGTATGCCTGCCGCCTTGGCATACTTCCAATTTCAGTGCGTTGTCGTCTTGGTCTTTGGTTTGCTCCTCTTTAGTCGTTGTCGTTGTCGTTGGCGGCGGGGCAAGAGGCACGAAGCACTCACCTCGTAAAAAATCAATAGCCTTGCAACAGACGAGTGCTTGGCTGTTTGCTGCTGCTGCTACAACAATACCACCATCGTACCACCGTACCACCACCATTTGAGGACCCAACGCAACGGAATCATATGCAATATCCAAGGAGGCCTCAGTCGCCGCCACCGCCACTGCAGAGCTCCAGCAGACCATTTCCAAGTGACCATTTTTCCACTCGTCCCGTCCGGTTCGGTCCGCTCCGCTCCGTCTGTCTGTTGTTGTTGTTGTTGTTGTTGCAAGTTGTGCTTTCCTTTCCGCAGCGGCGCAACTTAATTCCAAAAATCGATTAGTCACTGTAAGCGAACCGTGCAATTGTCCAGCATTTTTCATTTATAACTCTTTTTTTTTCCTTCTTTTTCTTTTCTTTTTTTTTTTTTTGTTTTTTTTTTGGCACACGCTTGATTAATTTGCCAGCCAGGCAGCCAGGGCAGCAGGAGGAAGGTGGGCTGCATGCAAGAGACATTTAAAAATGCAGGAAGTAATCGATTGGTCGATTGGCTAGGGCAGGCACACACACACACAATAGGCGCACCACAGAAATGGGAGAGGCCCAGCCCAGAGTCCCGGTCCACCCAACGAATGGCAGTCTCAGGAGTAGGGTGGGGTGGGGTGCATGTGCATTGCTTGAAAGTAAATGATCCATTTATTCTATGATTCTGATTAGAGTATTTGATTCTTGATTACTTTTTAATTTTTTTATTTGATTAAAAAAAAATTTGTTTGCAAAAAGAATTTTTACAAAATTCCCCTCTCAACAACCTCACTTTGAGAGCATCAAAATTTCGTTTAATTTGCAAACAAATTTCCCTTCAAGCTCATTTTCCCAACCAACGTTACACCGCGCTCTGCCGCTCACTCTCTCTCTCTTACTGATCGAACAATAGCATGCAACAGACAGAGCGACACACCGACAGACAGACCGACCCGGTTGCCGGCAGTAGGTGGAGATTAATCATAAAAAAAAAATGAGGCAAAAAAAAAGTCAGAAAATGCTGTTTAAATGGCAATACGTGCCTGGTCACCAGGTATTTCTACTAATTAACCTGACGGATGCACGCCACGCCACGAAGAGGCAGCAACAGCGGTAGCGGCAGCGGCAGCAACGCTGGTGATTATGCAATTGCATGCATCGGCGGGGGAGGAGCTATGCCCCCTGCTCAACCCCCTGCTACGCCGATGGGAACTTCCAGCACAGATACTGATAATGCATCCATTATGGGCATCTATTATTAAAGATGTTGTGAAATATAACCGATAAATAAAGCTATAATCGAGAGGTTATACAATCAATTTTAAAGTTCAATTTGGATCGGAAGGGTGGGGGGCTAGTATCTAATGGGGAAACTCGTTGTGTTCTGCTCTGGTAACTGCTAGAATGGGGAGGGGGTTGGCGGAGTATTCGCTATGATCTATTTGCTCAATGATTGGTGGCCATAATCAGATGATTAGTTTGTTGAACTTTGCATAATTTGGCAGGAATTTACTTGGGTACTAGTGGAGCTACACGGGTTCGGTCTTATTTTATTTTATTTTATTTATTTAGTTTTTATTTTATTTTAATTTATTTATTGATTATTTTATTTTATTATAACTTATTTTTTATTTTATTTTTTATTTATTGATTATTATATTAATATTTATTAATTATTTTATTACTATTTATTTGTTAATTATTTTACTAGTATTATTTATTTATTATTATTTTATTATTATTTATTTATTGACTTTTTTTTTATTATAATTTCGTTATTATTTTTGTTATTATTTATTAATAATTTTGTTCTTTATTTTTTTATTTATTTTATTATAACTTATTTATTTATTATATTACTTTTTTTATTTCTTATTTAATTTATTTATTGATATTTTATTATAACCAGTTACTTATTTCACTATTTTTTGTATTTCTTTTTTTATTATTATTTATTTATTAATTATTTTATACCCTCTCTTAATTCCAATTGATTCCTTTCATTTCTTATTAATACCAAAAACTTTTGTAATTTGCATATTTTGCTGCCATTTTCGGTCTACAATAAATAGTTCTCTACCCCCCGCCTTTGAGCAAAGTTCACGAATATATTGAACTCGTTTCATAGCAGACATTGAGACAGCAGAAAAACACATGGAACACATGTTGCATAGTGAGAGAGACAATCCACAACAGACACACACAAACATACACAAAATCGACGCTTAAAAGCCTCAGAGCCATTTGTATGGCCGCCTCGTAAGAGACTCCACTCCGCACTCCGGGCAGCGCATAAAGATTATCTATGGGGGCTATACACACAGGGCTCTCCAGCTACTCCAGCACACACATACACACACACACATGAGGCGGTCAAACAAGATTATGCGAAATGCGAAGCCAAATAACAAGTGTTACTCAAGCCAGCAAATTAATAGCCAACATTTTTCTAAACTAATCACGACAAGTGCCAGTGCCAGTGCCAGTTCGC